TGGATAAGGATATTCCTTATTACCCTGACGTAATCTACGAAATATTTCACGAAATCGACCCCAACCACCCTTTGTTAGGATGGATTCCGAGACGACTGACGCAATAACATATTACGCGTAATAATTCGCCAAATGATTTATATTACGTGTAATTCTTGGAAAACTACTTAATTTGCATATGAACCAGACAGCCGGCGTTCAATATGCAAATAAGTTCCTGTCTCGCTTTTTTCAAAGCAGATGTTTACTGAGCGAGTTTTCTTTGAAGCTCTTCTTTTGCCTCCTGGTAGATCTTTTTGCGAGATTCCTCGGAAAGATCTTTTACGACTGTTTTTTTGTTTCTTATATCCGACTTTAGTTTCTCGTACTTTTCCTTCTCGGCTAAGATAAGCGAGAATTCTACGTCGTCTATCTTTCTGTCACGCAAAGAATTTGAGACAAGGTCGGTAATAGTATTTACTTTAGCCCTAGACAGAGCTATTGTCGTGTCGTGTTTTGATATTTTGCTAGACAACTGCTTCATAATGCCCGTAGCAACAGCAGAAATAATACCACAGGCTGCCCCAACGCCGGCTAAAGGAACTCCAACAATTATTCCCGCTCCAGTAAGCGAAGTAGCAACGCCGGAGCCCGTTAACACTACGGATATGGATCCTAAAGTTATCGCAATCTTATGTAGCGTACTTCGGGCTCTAACGTATTTCTTCCTAACTTTTAGTGTTTTGTCTGCCCTTCCAAGTTATAACATCGGCAACCATTTTCGGCTACCTTTTCTACCCCACACGGGCATTCCTGGTAGACACATTTTGCGTTCTATAGTATTTCTAGGACTACTGCTGCGCTGGGAACAAGCACCAGGAATGTCCGTAGAACGCCTCCACATAGTAGCAAGGGCCTCGAAACAGTGCCCTCGTAGCAAGGGCGCGGCAGGACACCGCTCCCTAGCAAGGGCTGCAAACCACCGCTCTTGGATAGAGAGGAACGATTCGTTCCCCATAGTAGTAGCCAAAAACCTTCTAATCCTATATATACATGGAAGAGCAAAAGAGTATTTCGGCAACATTGCAAGAAATGGGTATACGTGCGAAAAATAGAGTCTTGGCGCATTTGCTGCTGGACAACGCATACGACGGGAATCTACTGCCCGACATATCCAAGTGCGACTATTTGCGGAACAACTAAGGTACTACGATTTTGCAGCCGTTGTCTGGATTGCCGCCGTTCGTAGACGATGTGTTTGTCTATGGCTTTGTCGCAGAAAACGACATGTATGGACGCATATGCAGAAACGCGAAGACTTTGGTGTCCAAAATATCCACTGCGACACAGGAAGCCTTTGGTACGTTCCTGCATGTCCAAATAGTACACAGCTGCAGACAAGGAAAAATAGTAGACCGCGTCTCCCACATGGCAGCCAAGTGGTCCAGCTTGCATGGAAAACCCGCAGCGGTTTTCGTAGCCAAAGTAGACACCTCGGAATTGTCCATAGAAATAGTAGAGGAAAAGATACCCAAGTTTGCTACCCTGCTGGATTCCCACGGATATGGTATCTATTCCGTGGACTACACACAGGATTTCTCTGGTACTTTGGATAGAAAAGCTTTGGTGCGCAAACTTCTACAGCTGGGCTACGAAATGCAAGGAGAACTGGGTGGACGCAGAGGTACTATTTTGGACAATACGCACCAAGTAGGCAGCCACGTTTGTACTTGGATGGAAGACGGGAAACGTACAAAAATATTTGATGGTTTGGCGGGGAGGGGATTTGATATGTGTATATATTTTACTATTATTTATTATTATTATTCTATTTTGTATATATTTTATCGAGGGCCACCTGAAAATTATCATTTATGGTAACGGTGTTACCCTGTCTAATAAAGTTGTTATTATTATTATTATTATTATTATTATTATTATTATTATTATTATTATTATTATTATTATTATTATTATTATTATTATTATTATTATTATTATTATTATTATAAGTGTCGGCGCCGCCAAACAAAGAATGCGTGCAGGCGCTGCACATGCAGGAAGGAGAGTACCAATGCTGGAGATACGCCAAAACCACCTACAGAAAAAAAGAAAGGACAATCCTGTTCCTTTCGCAGAAATGTCCAGAGTGTGTTTTGGAGGGCTGCACGGTAGAACATGCTACTACTCCGGTCTGGGGACACTTCCTGGACGAGCAAAAAATAGACTGGACATCGCAGCCGCCGCTGTACTGCAAAATTGGTAGAGAAAAGACTACCAAAGCAAAGAAGAAAGACAGACTGGTGCACGTCTCTTCTCCGGAATCCTAGGCCCGCAAAGGGTGTCTACCAGATCGACACCCTTTCTACTCCATCTCCGGAATCCTAGAATTTCTCTGCGGTTTCGCATCCTCCGCCGGATGTCTGTAGTAGACAACTTTGGGTGGTTGCATGCGCGCCCTAACGACAGCAGCCACACCCACTAGCGCAAATAGCACATTGCCGGCTATTTGCCAGTCTATCTTTTTGTCCACTCCTTCTACTTCGTCGGACAAGTCCTCTACCGCATTTTCCAACTCGGGATCTTGGTCCATTCTGGCTAGCAATTCCTCCTTTGCGTTCTGTAGTTCTTCTCTAGCTTTTTGGAGATCGTCCAAGACTATAGCAAAGGAATCCTGTACTTCTAGGAAATGTTTCTGCAGGTCTGTAGTTGGAGGCTTTTCGGGAATTGCTACCTCCACGCCATTTTCTCTCTCTATCCTGCGTATCTTTGGTATGCCTATGCCATACTTTTTGGCTACCTTCTGCAGCCCCACACCGTTCTTGCGATCTTCCAACAATCCTGCAATTTCTTCCTCGGATAGTATTTTGGGTGTTGCCATATATATCTACGGATACGGTATTCCATGCCTAGATAGCTATGGATCCATAGGGGTATTTCGTGGGTCTATAGGTATATAGATGTATCTCTACGTAGCTCTAGGCATAGCCATCTACATGCTAGGAAAACAAAGGACAACGCAAATACTTTTGGAGATCTTGGAAGGTCTCTACAGAGCGCAAAAGACAATACAGGGAATTTGCATACCAGGCTACGTAGCTACTTTGGCGCAACTATCGCGGCGTAGATAGTACAAGGGGAACGAATCGTTCCTCTCTATCCACGTCGGCGTTTCTCCATGCAAAGGTAGCGGTGTCTTGCCGCGCCCTTGCTACGAGGGACTCGTTTTGGGGCCCTTGCTATCCAAAATCTGTGGATTTCTACCATGGAGAGGCATTTTGCCTCCACCTACTTCCCTACGGACATTTCTGGGGTTTGCTCCCAGCGCAGTGGACACGAAAAAATATTTTCCTACGCAAAATGTACCTACCAGGAATACCCGTGCAGGAGTAGAAAAGGTAGCCGAAAACGGTTGCCGAAACGAGGGGAAAAAATATGCTCTTAATCGTATATAGAACAAATATTTTAACTTAGTAATGCGGGGCACCAGTAAAACCCGTAGAGAGCTTTTCGAGTTGAATTACGCAGGCAATACACATAGGGACCTTACGGGTAATACCCGCGGCGGCCGCATAGTGTTTGGCGGGGGTAATACCCGGCTCCCCCGGTACCCCCTCCGCGAGTCCCCCTACCTGCTGCTCACGTGCCGAAACATGTGGCTAATCATATCAGTCGCTGGTCAGTGCAGAACTTAATTTATTCTAATTGGTCGCGATAACTCGATTCGTTGCATTGTTCTGGGGGGGGAAAATATGCAAAAATGGGTTTTATATTGCAATCTAGATGCTTCTATAACCAATAAACTTCGGCAGACGTTCTTGGACAATCTGCTTGGTACTTACAAAGAACTGGAACGGTCGTTTATGGAAAATATGTATGAGCTCCAGAAAGCCCTTGGTTTTCGATTCCTCTGGAACTTGGACGATGTCATGAGCTCGTTCCAACGTATCGCCTCAGAAAGTGCGATGGGCACCGGGCAGCTTAATGGTGCAGTGGAACTCTCTCAAGTATCTCAACGGTTGGACAACATTACAACGAAGGCCAAAGGCTGTTTCTCTAAGCTGAAATACAAAACTAACGTTCAAAAATGGAGTTTTGATAATGTGAAAGACAAACAGGTAATTGTCAAGTTTGTCGTTGAATATCAAAAGATGCCAGTAAATCATGGGATTTAGCGTTATATCTTTATCATCATCATCACCATCATTACCATCATTACTATCATTACCATCATCACCATCACCACCACCATTATCTTAACCATCACCATCATCACCATTGTCATCATCACCGCCTTTATCATTATCATAACCATCACCCTGACCAACATCATCACCATCGTCATTGGCACCATCATCATCATTATCATCATCATTATCATCATCATCACCACCATTATCATAACCATCGCCATAACCATTATCACCATCACTACCATCACCATCATCACCATCAACATTATCATCGCCACCATCACCATTATCATCATCACCATAATTATCATAACCATCGTCATCGTCATCATTATTTTATTTATTATTAAAGAATACTTGAATTTATTCACTCATTTTTTAAGGGAATATATATATATATCCTGATTAGTGGGTTTATTCGACCTTGCTTATGTGGCTTAAATTTCTTTATCCTTCATACGGCAATCTTGCTATGATCAGGAACTAGGCCAAAATCAAAGGACAGATGGTCTGAGTTGTTTTACCTATTAAACTCTAGCACAAGATATTTCTTTGTCAGCGATATAAAAAAATGGCTTTTTTTCTAAAATAGGGAATAGTAGAGCTACGGGGAAGAAATAAAAGCAATCTTGGAAATAAGACTGCGCAGCCATGTTGGTTTGAACAATAGATTCCACTTTAAGGTATTAGGATACGTTTACGACCACTATGCGCGCAAACTTAAATAACGCGCTGGCTTTATAGTATAACACTAACAAAGTACACATTTTCTGAAAGATGAGTAATCATTTATTGTTTTATTGTTGTTCACATTATTGTCTTCGAAGCGAAATTTGACCATGCCTCAGTGAAAACGATAACGGACAAGTACATTTTAAGCTATGTTTGCCAAAAATGGCTTAACATACACAGGAAATAATAAGCTCAAAAAATGTGTCCCAAATTTTGGATGTTTGTTTTATATCTCTCGCTATTTTTGATCAAAGTTCGGCGATTGCTTTTGAAGTGTTGTTTAGAGTAAAAGCGTCATATCTTTGGAAAGAAATTAATTTGCAAAACTCCAAGACACTTATTTTTGGATCATGAGTTACTTTATAAACTCTCCAATTTTTAGAAAAATCGAATGAAATCCAAGGGACTTTTAGCTTTTTGAACGTGAGGTTTTAGCGGCAAAAAAAAATTCGAGAAAAATGCATTTCTTTGTTAGGAGCCAGAAGCTGCAGGTAGCCACGATGGTGTTGGTCAAAACACCTTGAGCCTTCCATTTTGTCATTACTTGTCAAATTATCTGGTGTTCTGGACGATCGCAATGTGGGATCTTTTAACAAGCACAAAGGAGCATTTGGACTCCACGATATTGCAAGCGACGGGACATTTCCGGTCTTGATAAAGTCAGGATTTCGATTTTTCTCAAAATGTTGGCTTTTCCAATCAAAAATTGCAATAAGTTTGACAAACATATGAAAGACAAAAGTTTAAAGTTACGAAATTTTCAAAAAAAGAAAAAAGATTTTCGATCAAATAGTCATTTTTCGTATCCTAATACCTTAAGAGCGGGGGTCTGTAAAAATCGACCAAAGGTAATATTATGAAGAAGGCAAACCACACTCACTTGAGAAGGCAGTGACATTGGCGTAACAAACAAAAGGAACTTTCTACACAGTTTTTGCATAAAAATAGAGTTCAATTCCCCGAGGATAGAAAAGGTATTGTTTTGGTACATCAAGATGGCCGCTGTGACATCACGTGAAAACGCTCTATAGAACTTTTTTTAGCTTCGTATGCAAATTCCCCATTTCAAATCATGACATTCCCTTCAGAACTGTTCTTTTATACTAACATGTTAAAATATTTACATATGAAAGAATCAACTCCCAAGAGTGACATCACATGGTCTGAAATGTGCACAACAGACGAATAAACTACAAAGGTCTATTTGTCTGAGAAAGTGCCGTAGTATACATCATATATTTTTAAATAGTCTCTTATTCAAGTGCTTGAGAATAAATTTCTGCGATGCGGGTTAAGCAAAGGTTCTTAATCTTCATTCCTAATTTGTAGACCGTGTATACTACGGCACTTTCTCAGACAAATAGACCTTTGTAGTTTATTCGTCTGTTGTGCACATTTCAGACCATGTGATGTCACTCTTGGGAGTTGATTCTTTCATATGTAAATATTTTAACATGTTAGTATAAAAGAACAGTTCTGAAGGGAATGTCATGATTTGAAATGGGGAATTTGCATACGAAGCTAAAAAAAGTTCTAAAGAGCGTTTTCACGTGATGTCACAGCGGCCATCTTGGTGCACCAAAACAATACCTTTTCTATCCTCGGGGAATTGAACTCTATTTTTATGAAAAAACTGTGTAGAAAAAAAAACTGTGTAGTTTTAAGTCGCAACTTAAAACTCATCTGTTTAAAAACTATTTTGATTTTTAGTTATCATTAGTTTTTTATTGTTATTGTTATTATTATAACGCATAGAGCATTCATTTGGATATGCGCTATATAAATGCACCATTATTATTATTATTATTATTATTACTATTATTATTATTATTATTATTATTATTGTTATTAGCCTTCTTAAGTGAGTGTAAACACTCTATATCCTAATATAACGAGTGGTTTGCCTTCTTGATAATATTGTGGATGGGCTTTTTCTAGATAGAATTTGTGGCATTTTTCTTTTTTAATTTCCATGTCAGACCCAGATTCAAGACAATTTTACAATACATTACGATAGCTTTATCATTACTTTTATAGATCCTGTAATTTGTTGACTTTTCAGATGTTTGAGGAAATAAAAACAGGTTCAGCGACATTCAGTATAGGAGAGGATCAAATTTGTAAAACCTGTCATAATGCTCGGCTTATAAAAGTACGTATGATCTATATTTACTATGAGGAAAGAAATCATTAGAATTAAATTATCATTAGAATTAAAATGATTAAATTATTAAGACCGATGGCCGAATATTGACCACTAGACGATAGGCCTTTTCTGAGTTCGATAAACAAGATGCATTGTGGTCTATTTCTTTTATTTACTTTCTTATTTAAGTCCATATTTATACAAGCACATCTAGTTTAGCAAGGCTAGTTTAAATAGGGTCCTGAGCTAGCTAGCTTCGGTACAAAAAACCCCATCTAAGTCATGATGAACCAAAATATGTTTGTACCTAAGCTTGACCACAATGCACCATGTTCGCTATCTCAGAAAAGGTCTATGTGGGAGAGAGATCTAATCATTTTAGTATAAACCTACTAATCTGTCGAATAAATGGAATAATTTTGTGAATTAGGTTGAAGTAATTTATTTTTTGCTTTGTTTTGGTTTTCAAAACCAGCACCTTTCGCCTTTCTAATGATCTATCACTAATAGACTTCCAAGTAGTTGAGCCAATTAGAACGCAGGATGTTTGATAGACTATCATAAGGCTTATACTAAAAACCAATGAAACCCTTGCATATGATGTCACTAGATTCACCGAGGCCAATACAATGGAAAATTTTACATAAAAAAAGTTTTCAAACCGTGAAGGTACTACTTGCCATGACTTGACTTGAGACAATCATACAATAACTACTTTATGCCAAAGAATTTGTTGCATATTACGTAAATTCATGCTAACGTTAACGTCTTAATGTTTGATTTAGTATGATCTTTTAGATAAAGAAAGTATTCATTTCATTATAATATTCGTTTATAACAGATGTATGTTGAACTCTATGGCACTGAGGCGCAACCTAAAGACGTTTGGGATGTGGTCAGACTCAATGTCCGCCATCTAAGTAGAGCTTATTTCCGCGCTGGTGATGGCAAAATAAAGCAATACCTTACGCCAATAACAAGCTTAAGGGACCTTAAGTTTGACCGTTTTAGAATCAGCGATGAGGATGAATGCCGGAAACGTAAAAAGAACGCCGACAAACCTGGTTAGTAATCCTTTATACTCAAATAAGTAAAGTGTATCGTACTTTTAAATCATAACTATGCACACCTGGCGAACAGGAAGTAATAATGATAATAACGGACGGGTAGCATGGGTGGCGTACGCTCCTAATAGAGCCAGTTTAAGGTCCTCGTTCACGGCAAACGTGAAACGTTAGTTGACCGTTAGTTGAAATTCAAGTGGTAGATATAAAAACGAATATTTGTCTTTGGTGAGAAGGTTTGTAAATGGTAAAGTGAAATACAGGAAAACGATGAAAACGTGGTCACGTTTGCCGTTTGCGTAATGGCATACGGGAAACTTAATCTTTCTAATGCGTCGTGTTTCCCCGCTGTGAGTTCAATGGGTCCAGTGGCTGGTTCTGGCAGTGCTGTCGCCGCATGTGAATTGAGTTTGCTTGATATGCTGTTCTCTCCTATGGTTCTCCGGTTTTCTCCGGGTTCTCCGGTTTCCTCCCTCCGTGCGTTGTGTGTAGAAACATTGAGCTCAGTGGTAGTGTGTGTGAGTGAAAATTGTCCCAATAAGTGTGAAAGCGCTAGAACGACCATACGACCATAAACTTATAATATATATATATATACACTTGATTGCAGAAAGGTTGTAGTATACATTTATACAAATACCTAAGTTATTCAGTATATTTAATGATATGCGTTTTATATCCTACAGATTATAAATCAATTGGTTTTGAGGGTTAAAAAAGTAAAATTGCAATATGCATCTCATTAGGTATTTGTATAAATGTATAAATGTATACTACAACGTTTCTGCAATCGAGTGTATATATATGTATATACACTCGATTGCAGAAACGTTGTGGTATACATTTATACAAATATCTAATTTATTCAGTATATTTAATGATATGCAAAACAGAAAAATCGCTTTATTCATTGTTTGTTTCATTCAATGACTGTCCAAATATTTTTTTCTTGTCCATTAGATCGTACAGATTGTAAATCAGTTGGTTTTAAGCGTCGGAAATGGCTATTATGTACTTATTGACTGAGTGGGAGGGCCGTACGGGAAAATATTTGGCTCGAGGTCATGTCGTACGGACCGAGCGCAGCGAGGTCCGTACAAATGACCGAGAGCCAAATATTTTCCAGTACGGCCCGACCTGACTCAGTCAATAAGCATTTTATCATATGACCCTCACGAAAATAAAAATAATTAAGAAAAAGAAAGCGCGCGGATTCGAGCWGGGCCGGACGGGTTTTTCCGGCCCGCTTACGTCAACCCGTCCGGCCCCCATCACGTGACTTTTTCCAATAGTTTTATTAGAGCGCGCGAGCAGGGCCGTACGGGTCATATGATAATTTATATTATGCATCTCATTAGATATACTGAATAAATTAGATATTTGTATAAATGTATACTACAACGTTTCTGCAATCGAGTGTATATGTATAAATATATATTTTTTCATGGGCATAACAAATAAAACAATCTCGCTTCAGTGGCTCATTTCTGCGTCGAAGAGCAGGATAAACGCCTGAAACCTATGTGCAGCCACTCCTTAAGCGGTGTCCCGGCAGATGATTTGATGATGGGAAATGACGAATGTACGAGCCCGTCTGGCTTTTACGAGCTCAAAATCCCTGTTGACAGAGCATTACCCTGTAAGAGTACAACGATGCGAGACACCAATTGCAAAGATATTGATGTAAGTCAAACCTGTAGGTTGTACACTGGCTCGGCCTTATTGTACGAAGAGTGGATAGCGCTCTCCGATGGAAAACTCCTTGCTGTGATTCAATAAATTTATGCACGGGATAAAATTTATCTATCGAATAGCACTATCCAAACTTCGTACAACCGGGCCATGCACTACTTTTAGGCGAAGAGCAATTGATAAATGACTAACGCTATCATCATCATCATCATCATCATCATTCTCATCGATATGTTTATCTAAAAATATCAGATCAGATGTGTTTTTTTTTTCTTTTTCTTTTTTTTAATTCTTTTTAATTTTTAACTTTTTGTTTCAGCTAACAAAGTTCACTAAAATGAACGTTTGGATGTATTACATTTACTGGTCAAAAAAATACCCTAAGGATCCGAATGACCCTGTATGTTACCTCCAAAAGGATTCAACTAAGAGTCATTGATTGAAAACATCGAAAAGTTAACGCCATGATGTCCGAGATGATGAACCGAAACGTCGATCCCCTTGGTTTGTAATGAACCTTTTTAAAATTATCTGTGAGATTACATGAAAATGTAAAAGGAGAAATTTCACTTTTCCTCAATGGAATGTGTGTGGTACTTCTTTTGTATTTCCATGTAACCTTGGCGACAATTCCACGCATGTAACAAGGTCGTATAATTACCTATCACATGATACAAATAAAAATAGCATTGAAGCAGWGAAGTCATATGGTGTCTGGTTATATTTACTTTAAGGTTACAGCACATATACAATTTGTCTGAGCATTTTGTATAGCCATAAGAGCAACCGCTTGCAGTCAATTATTGTCCAAAAACCAGGTTCACCATCCACAGGTAACCATTCAATTAAAAACCAAACAGGTCATACTTACAAGCACAAGTTCAGACTAGCTAGGCTTTGGCGGTCTCTAATCTGGTCTTTTTTACAAATTGTCTTGCTAACTCGAAGGCTCCCGCTAACTATGACGATGATGATGATGATGATGACGATGATGATGGTGATGGTGATGTTGATAGTGGTGGTGGTGGTGGTGGTGATGGTGATGGTGATAATGAGGATGAAGACTTTATTTCATAAGGGTGGCACCTGGTATTTTTTCGGTTTTACCTCGTATGTTCAAAACCTCAATTTATTTCTACTTGAGAAAAATGTGGCATGTAAATTCTCCCGTTTTAAATTTTTCTTATTTTTCAATGGAAAATGAGTTATTTTGAAGGTGGAAGTTAATTGACTACTTCTCAACCTACTTATAAAAAATTTATTACTATCATGAGAGAAATGCAATATTTGTTCATTATAAGACAACATGAAAAAGAAAAAATGTCTTACTAAAAATTGCGAACTTTCATTATTCTATGTTCTTAAAAATAAAAACTTCTCTTTTCGTCAGTTCTTTAAGCATAGTCATAGGTTTCCACACGTACAAGCCCGAGTTCACGCAGTTGTACGTCTAGTTATTTTATTTATTAAGACAATATTTTTTACAGGCTAGTTAAGTGGAGTTATGTTAAACACCATCTTTGTACGTTCAGAGATATAATTATAAATTAGTCATTGTCTTTTATAAAACAAACTAACAACCTACAAACAACAAACCATCATTCTAGCTTCTTAATTTTACAAGCATGCATACGAACAGTACTTATATTATTGGTAAAATTAATTAGTTCATTTGAAGCTTTGATTAATAACGTGGTGCTGTCATGGCCACGCTTGATATAAAAAGGAGTCTAAATTATTTATTCCTTCTGATCATCTTGGACGATTTCCTCATCTTCATTAATTTCTTCATCTGTGTCGTATCCTGTTAGCACGTCAACTTGTTCGAAGTACTGATATTCTGACACCAAATCAAACATGTCAGACTCGGCCTGGACAAAAAAGAAAATGAATTACCGTAAACTTACGATAGGCCATAAAAACTTTTGCATGATTTGTTATATTAAGTTTGTGGGATGTAACAACGGTAATTAAGGGGAGTCGGAATCATGAATGGGAGATCATAGTATCATATACTGCATATAAGTAAAAAAATACTATGACCTTTCCTCCGATGATAACATTTGGAATACCTCTGAAAACTCCATTTCATCCATCCCTTCACCGGTGTACCAGTGAATAAAAGCCTTGCGTCTGAACATGGCAGAGAATTGTTCTCCAACTCGCCGGAACACTTCCTGGATGGCAGTGCTGTTACCAACAAACGTAGCAGCCATTTTTAGTCTACTTGGGGCGACATTACAAACGGTTGTCTTCAAGTTATTTGGGATCCATTCGACGAAGCTGGAGGAGCTCTTGTTCTGAATATCCCGCATTGTATTATCGACCTTAAGATTGAATTTAAATATGAACTAGAAATAATAAAATGCATGAAATAGTAAAACAGTGGATTGGGTCCTTCGTTCGTGATTTTAACAGTAATCTATTTACAGTGGTCTTAGCCATACTCCTTTAAGCTGTGGAGGTCTAGCGGCCACCTTCAGATAAAGATGCAAAAGCCTATAATTCTAATAACAGGGAGGGAGGGTAGGGTACTGAAGGCGACCTGGGAAGGCCGAGTACAGACAAGATAGGCAGGTATGTATATATCGCTGGAGCAAATGATCACTGAACGCCTTTTGCTCAAAGTGGTAATGCATTCATCGTGGGTGTTACTTATAAGTCGTATTGGGAAAGGACGCTGTAATTAGCCACTCGGTAAGAGCGTCGGTCTGTTGTGCGGGAGGTTGTGGTTCACACCCCATACTAACCACCTTTCGTTCATTACTTATTGTAAAGCGCCTTTGAAGGATTCTTTTCCAGTTCAATGATCTTTTGACAATATTTCACTATTACGTCTTACAAAATAGAACATAAAGGCTTAATTCATATTTCTATTACCTCATTCATTGACATTCGTCCTCGGAATATCGCAGCTGCGGTCAAATATCGTCCATGGCTTGGGTCACACGCTGTCATCATGTTCTTTGCATCAAAGATTTGTTTGGCTAATTCGGCAACCGTGAAGGCCTGGTACTGCTCTGAGCTACGACTAGTCAGCGGTGCAAATCCAGGGATAAAGAAGTGCAGGCGCGGGAAAGGAACCATGTTCACGGCCAGTTTACGAAGATCACCGTTAAGCTTAAAATAAATGGATTCAAAGGAAATGTTACATATAAAGACCTTCTTTACATACATTATGTTTTACTATAGTTACATACATTACGTCTTCTAAGTGTCCTTTATGCACCTTATTTAGGTGTTGCGTTTAGATGATGTTAACGCCCACATTGAGATCCCAGAGTACATGGCACGCTGATTTCGCCTTCACGATACTTCAAAGATATATTTGCTAGATCAGCGTGCCTTGATAGATAGCATTTGCACACTAAATTTTACAAGTACAGGGATTGTACGTTAAGTTACATGCAGCGGTTCAATGCAAAAGATCGTGAAAGGATACAATTACACCAATGACGTTCTTTTTCACACGATAAAATGCAAAGAGTGTCACTGGCTTCTTAGTTGAGGCCGAGCCCTCATATTTTGCTCCTTACCTTTAATCCTCGTCATATTTAATCTCAATTACTGTCGGATCTATAGTGACTGGTTTTATATAAAATGCTAATACAATTACCTGTCCAGGGAATCTCAAACTAGCAGTCATTCCACATACTGCTCTGGATATCAGATGGTTGAGGTCAGGATAGGTGGGTTTTGCCAGTTTAAGGCTATTGGTGCAAATATCGTAAAGGGCCTCGTTATCAACTATCAGGTCTTCATCTGCGTTTTCTACGAGCTGATGAACTGACAAGATGGTGTTATACGGCTCCACGACAGTTGCGGATACCTTGAATAAAATATGTGGGGTATTAAAATGAATGAGGCAAGTTTTTTCAACATGTGCATTTTTGTTATATATATAAACATGGTGGCTTTTGCGAAAGGATGGAAATACTTGAGGTTTATGAATGGAACACCAGCGAAATAACACACACAAAAAAATAGTAACTCTCAGATCTAATCAATCAATCAATCAATCAGTCAATCAATCAATCGACGAAAACAACCCTATCAAATGTATTTGCTAGGCATTTTGGTTTCGATACAGACAATAGCAGACCAAACACCGTTGCAGCAGTTGTACAAACAACTACGCATTATCTGTTTTAAAGAGTATTGCAAGGAATACGAAGCAACTTTACCTTTGGCGATGGTACTACACTAATGGCCATAATGATTCTATCCGAGAACTCTTCACGTATCTTAGACAATAAGAGAGTACCCAGACCAGAACCAGTCCCTCCTCCTAGAGAATGGAACATTTGAAAACCTTGAAGGCAATCGCTTTTCTCTGCTTCTTTTCTCATTACGTCAAAAATGGCATCACGGAGTTCTGCACCATCCGAGTAGTGGCCTTTTGCCCAGTTGTTTGCAGCTCCGCTATTTCCTAATGAAAGATATATAAATTCCAGTGTGAATCGGAAACCTTTCCACTCATTCCTATGACGTTGCTACCAGCTTGGTTGATGTATGAAAAATACAACAACAACAAAAACAACAAACAAACAAATGGATTAACAAAAAAGGGATAACAAAATAAGCACAAAAATAAAAACAAAACAAATGAAAGTGAAGTGAAGTGAAGAAAAAAATTTTTTCTCAACATGGTCGCTACTATCTGAACTTTAGAATTGTCGAGGAACATGTTACGTCATAGCACATGCTGTTTGATGACAACAAAGCTTTCTTTTAATATTTTACCTTCTCTTGATTGATCAACCAACATGGCTGGGGTTTTATTATATCTCGAGGGAGTTTTGAGTCACATGGTTGCACTCGAAGTAACTTACTAAAAGCAACGAACAGAATGAACCCGGCTACGTCTATGTAGTTTAAAACAGACGTTTTTCTTTTGAAAATTAAGTGTTTATTGTTAATACCAGTGTAACCAGGAAATAATTCCTCATTACAAATTCGAGGTTAATTAGATATGCACGTAAGACAAACGGAAAATTTTGTTACGTTTACATATCGTTCGACCTACTTACCGGAAATGAAGTTATCTGGACGAAAAAAAAGGCCTAAATCAGTACCACGTATAGCATCCAAAGGGCCTGGTTCTAGGTCCACCATGATCGAACGAGGTACGAAGCAATTATCTAGTAATAACCAGAGATGACAGGAAGCTAAAGTTAGGTCTCGGAAGCACGCCGTAAAAAACAGAACCAGCCTTAAATGAATAACTAATTAACCATCCAACAAGCAAAAAGCGTCCTTACAACTTCCAACAAATCGAACAAAAAAAAAACAAACAAACAAACCAAGACAAACTAAAAAACAAAACAAAAAAAAGGCCATCCTTCCAACCAACCTACCTACTAACCCACTTTTCAATCTTCCTACCACCCAACCAACCACCCAACAATTGCCCACACTCGGATTGTGTTTACCGAAGAAAAAACTACTGTATAATTAGCCATAAGTACATGGTGCTACAAACCGATCCGAAGTCAAGGAGAAGACTGGGTAGAGTCTGCATCCAAGTGCACTGTGGGAATGTTTTTATGGGGACGAAACAGCCGCCGTCTTGGAAATATGTCTTGCCCCCCCCCCCCCCCCCCCCCCCCCCCCCCCCCCAAATCAGTCCCACAATGCACTGTAATGGCAACTGGACCACATTTTTCTTCAACCTCTAATACTGACCTCTGTCTGTTTCACTGTAGTACACATCGATTTTTTCGGACTGTAATTCAGAGGTACCATGATAAAAGCCATTAAAATCAATTCCATGCTCTTGTGAAATATCTCTCCAAAACTAGGAAGAAATTTCAAAAGGATACATTATGCATAATACATTTATTAAGGCTTGGTACTCGACAGCGACATAAGGTTCATAATTAAGTATTAATCATTATCATAAACTATAATAATAAGCGCTCTGTCGCTTTAAACAATATCTTAGTGAGAATGCACTAAAACATAAACATCGCAAGACCAACATAATCGTAATCATAAGAAAATGTTCGAGAAAATATCATGATTCTAAAAGGTCTTGAAAGGCATTGGATCTGATCTCATTTAATTATGGCAGGTTGGAGTCCAGAGAAAATAGATTTTACTAACAGATGACGGTAGGTTCAATTTTATTTTAATAATTTTCTCTAATCGTGCTCTATAAAGCACAACTTTTCTATACATCTTGTTTACATCACAGAGACACACAGAGACACATTGGAGTGATCTTATTTATCCCCTGAAAGAAAAATGGCTATTTAGTTAGTACTAGTAAATAATAATAAATAATAATAATAGAAAAATAATAATAATAAAAAGAAAACAATGGGTTTAGAGTCTACTACTCACTGTTATGCATACTATATTTTCACGTCTCAAATAAAATCATTGTACAGTGTATGGTTGGCTGGTTCCTTTAATTACGCGTATAAATTTTTTTATTTATGTAGGTTGCCAGTGCCATTTTAATGTGATATATGTCATTCTTTGAAAATAAATTCCATTCAAACAACGAATTATCTTCTAGCCATTTTCAAAGGTGTGTCTTTCCATTAAAGTTCATTCTTTTATTTCTTTTGGGATTTCAATCCAAGCTATTATGACTGGGCTTGATGGTAATTGGAGTTAATCAACTGTTTTCTGGTCTACCACACATTTAAAACTCACAGCATGGAACAGTGTTTACCACTGAGTGTTATATCATTCTAAAAAGAACCTAACATTAAAACATAATAACAAAATACTGTGTGTATTGTATAATAATAATCTAATAATAAAATAATAATAATTTATCAATATTAGTTAATAACTTTTTTTCTTGATCATGTCATTATTGCAACTGACTCGTCACGCTATCAAGGCTCTGTTCTGCTGCACTGTATATTTATACATTCTTTCTTGATTCAACGTTTCTAAATATTTGTTTTCTAAATCGAACCGATGATGAGTTTCAAGTCATGAAAAGCAAATGCACCACTTCCTTCAAATTTGTTGAAACATGAGGAAGTAGGTCCTTAATAGTATGTTCAGCCATTATCAAGTCAACAATAACATACTATTTGCATACAGTATAACCTTATCAACAGTGAATTAAAAGAAACAGAATAACAAAATGACATATACATTACCTGACTACCAATTTGGTTCCCACACTGACCAACTTGGATGCTGATTATCTCTCTCATTATTTTTATCTTTTTTTTTTACTCTTTAGCTTTTGATGTTTGGTATTCCCTTTTGGAGGTATTTGCACAATATTACTGATTAGGTCATGTGGCTAAAAATAGACCATGCTTGACGTTATAATATTTCAAAGCCGACAATGAGGACTTGACGGGATTTGCAATTAGTTCTGGACCTCTGCTGCGCCTCGGACTGCATTTAATTGCAAGGACTTGAAACCCCGTCCACTCTGATTTGGATACTTTGAAATGACTTCACGCGGCGGCCAGACCACCCATTCAACCAATCCCGACTGAATGGGTAAAAAAATCCAAAATGGCCGCTTTACGCCCGCAAAGCATCACTGGAAGCTTTCTTCGGAGTACCTTTGGTGAAAATTGACCGTTTTCTATGCAAATTTTGGAAGACTAGGTACCACATCATGCAAAAAGGCGGCAAAAGTTGGATTTCAGTGCACGAAGATAAGCTTCATTTGGATGGGTTTTAAGCTGACAATCTTGAAACAAAGTCATTTATTTAGGCTATGATTGGAGCCCCATCCTTTGACCCAAACTCTGGTGATTCATGCAAGCTCATCGTTAGTTTTTTTTTTTTTATTTTGTCCTTACTAAAAACCTTTTTTAAGCCAACCTTTTTAAAGCCTTTTTTCAAACACACTTTCAGAAGTAAAACTCACTGGAAGACAAGAAGCGCTTCAAATAAGAAACAAAACATTACAATGAAAACTGCTACCATTTGTTACCTACTACGACCCAGCATGGTATTCTATAGGAAAATTCATTGGCTGACGAGGGAATTCCAAGTTGAATTCACGAGAAAAGGCGATATTCTAAATGAAATACCTGCTTGTATAAATCATCTCTAGCCAGTCAGCGCGCGCATTTAAGATGTGCTACTGGTGGGATTGCAGGGACCGCGAAACGTAATTCTGATTAGGGGAGCAAACGACCGCCGAACACGGGAACACCTAGGGGGATTCGGGGCAGGCCCCACCGAAAACGTTTCACTACTCTTCCACTGCTAAGCGCTGATCGAGACAACAGTCGCAAAAGGGAAATAGAAAATACACTGCCGCCAGTCAGAGAATACAAAGGTACCGACCAATTTATTTGATTGACTTAAGTGTATTGCCCAATTGCCCTGTCGCAACTGTTGTCTCGATCAGCGCGTAGCAATGAAAAGAGTGGTAAACTGAGCATCTTGGAAGTGCAATTTCTGATGTTTTGAGGGGCATGTACACATATTTATTGCACTGGCTTCTTAAATTTTAAATAGCAAACAAGTAACTCAAATTATGGCGGTAAAGTTATTGAGGAGAGGCGGGCTATATCCCCCCTTCCCCCCTCCAGTCCCCCTGCTCCGCGTTTCCTGAATTGAGTGATTGAAAAATCCTAACCATCTAATTCTCTAAAATCTTTGATTCAGTCCACAATCTCCCTCAAGATATATATTGTGCTTTTTCTATTTCAGTTTTTTGATTTACGGCCATCGAAATGCTAGTCAGCGAACGAGAAATCACGCTTTGTGGGTCACACATCAACGATCAGACAATGGTAATATCAGCACTTATGAATCATTTATTCCTGATAGATCATTCTGTATCATCATTTCCAGGCATTTTTAGCTTATATATCAACAACATCTCCCGATTTTTTAAATATTTTGCTATTAATCATCATTTACATTCACAATCGTCATAGGAAAGGTTTAGCAAATCCACCTTATTGTAATGTTTCCTATAACATCTTAGTCCGCCCCTTCTTGGGTCATCACAGCGGAGAGAGCCCGTGCAAAAAACAAAGGGGCAGTTACACCAATGGCTTCTTTGATTCTTGTCAAACCTTTCATATATGTGACAAAATGTTGTTATTCCTTCAAAAACTACCTTGCCAGTGACTAAAGTATTGGTGGTCTCATCGCCCCCTAGGAATTAAATGCGGAAAATAGATGAATTAATGAATGAACTAGTTTATGTGATAGGGCTCCATGCTGCCCAATTAAGAAATAATTGGACGAGGAAAATTCCGAGGACTGACAAAATTGGATGAGGCCGTAGGCCGAGTTCAATTTGGCAGTCAGAGGAATTTTTCGAGTCTAATTATTTCTTGATTGGGGAGCATGAAATCCCATTACCTATTAATTATATATAGCTGCCTAATTAATCCCATATCAACAAGACCTGTCCAATTAAGAAAATAATCGGACAGTTACCTATATGGGATTAATGAGAAGCTGTATAATTAATTAATGAACTAAATTTTATTTATCCACGGTAAACGACTCAGTAACACTGCTTTTCAGGCGTGCCGTGCTAGAATTTAAGCAATAATACAAATAAAGAACATAAAACTATCTATTCATATAATAATTTCATGTAATAATACATAATTATATATGCTATCTACCTATATGCTAATAATGTATCCTAATTATAACATTAAAATAGATGATAAGGTTGACTCATGTTTGAAGTCAATCGATACGAGGGGTTTTCATGAATTCGTTTCGAGTGAGCGCGAGGCCGTAACTAGCAGTGATCTCACATTCAAAACAAAAAGCAAAGAATTAGAAATCAAAGACTTCTTACGTGTGCCTTTACGGAGCTTCTTGTCCTTCAAAGTTTTACCATGAGCAGACAACACCAACACCATCACCAGCGCGGTAAAGAAAATGAGCTTCAAAGCCATTTCTCCAAATACACGAATGTTTTAAGAGTTTAAAGTACTTCCTAAAGAAATAAGTGGTTAAAAATCTTTCATTTAACTGAACAGGATTTTCAAAACTTTTTCGTTGTGGGGCAAAACGATACAAAAAATTACAATTTGAATAATATCCTGAAAAAAGAGGGGCTGAGAACTCTAGATCGAATTGGATTAATCTAGCTTGCTATAGATTTAAAAGAGAAAACCTTATGAAAACCCCTTGAATCAAGAGAGACACCTAACAAACTCTACTCATATGTGATGCCGGATTTAGGGGTGTTTACCGTTTAAACCAATCCACCCGGCTTGAAATTCATTGACTAATTGTAGGAAAATAATGGGAAACTTTGACTTTCGAAAAATGGTACACGCGTCTACCGAAAGAACGGAAAAGAGCGGGAAAACTGGGTGGATTACCTCAATTAAAAGACCGAGCTTTCCGGAACTTTCCAATCGAAATGATGAATACCACTTGTTTTTCAGCCGGAATTTTCGGTTTTTCCGGTTAAATCGTAAGCACCCCAGAATCGAATCCTAGACCCAAGAGGTGAGAGGAACCTTCTTGACTTTCATTCGAATTTTTTATTCTTGTTGAAAGTGAATTAAACCCTAGCTGCCCAACAATTTAACTGCTCTGAAACAAATAATTTGAAGAAATAACAAGGAACTTCACTGGAACGCATGAATATTCTACACAAAATCAAGGCTAACGTACAATTCGAAACGGTAGTATTTTGGGCCATGATATATACTTGAATCAAATAAAATGGGGTCCGTTCTAAAAACCTCTTACCTTCGGTCAGGATTGCTCCTTCAAAGAGTTTGTGATCTATATATATAATAGCATAAAGAAAACTGTTGCTTTTATAACAATTTTTAGAAATAAATTAAACTAAATAATTAAGTGGTTATAAACGTTTATGTGACAGTAACTGACAGAGAATGGAATACTTTATAAAATTTTTACATTCATTCGATTCATTGAACTCGAAACTGGAGTATTCGTGTATCTGTCTACTCGGAATTTTTTTTTTTTTTTTTTTTTTAATTTTGTAGTCTACTGTGTATGTGAAATAAAACAAAATAATAAATAATAAAACTGTACGTATTGTTCTTTTAAAAACAGTAGCCATATTAGTTTTTATTTAAAAAAATATTGATTTTTTTTTTTTTTAATTTTTTTAATGCAAATTAGCAAGTTTTTGATATGTRWRATMAWMAAMWTAAAGATATCCCCGTAAAAGGGTGTTTTGAAAATTTAAAATGTTCGGAATGAAACAAATACCTCTTTTTCTTTTTCTTTTTCTTTTTTCTACCAAGTTTTCACATTTTTCAAAAAATGTAGTTTCAAAAAAACAAAGTATTACTTCAGAGCTTTGAAACACCAAATGACAAGTTAATTTTGATTTACTTAGAAGTCAAATCAAACAAAAAAAAACAAAACTTTGAAGACAAACAGGTGACAACGTAAAAAAAAAAAAAAAAAAAACAATTAAGAAAGCAAAGAAGAAGTGATAAAACAAAGAACCAATAAAAAATGCATTTCACATCAACTGGTTCTGAGATACTAAACTGCCAACATGTAAAGTGCAATCAATGAACCCCTGAAAAACGCCAAAAAAACTATTGATAGATCGTTGATGCAAGTTGATGACCAGAATTTCAAAATAACGATTTCCAAGAAAGAATAAAATAACGCTCTAACTTGCTTCTAAAACTTTCATTTTGCTTCTAAAAATGTAACTAATTTGAAGTAGAAATGTAAAGGGTGAGGGCTAAGGATTTTTAGTCTTTAAAAGAACAATATCGATCATTTAAGTATAAGGTGTTTTTGTTGAATGGATCGTTACAAGGGCGGATCCAGGGTTTTTTGAAGAGGGGGTCTCAGGGGTAAATTTTGTGGGCAAAGGAATCCCAGTCGCATTTTTACCACAGGAAGCCCATTTGACCTCAGGAATGACAGGGGGGTCGCGACCCCCCCGACCCTCCCCCTGGATCCGCCCTTGCGTTATTAAAGATATGAATTGTGTTTCCTTAAGAAAATTTTTTAACATGATCATTTTATTTTCTTTTTTCATTATGCTTTATTTCACAGAGACAGCGCTAGATTTGTCATGTCACAAGTTGATAGCTATTATTTTTCCGAGTAAACACGGTTCTCTTTACTTATCGTTGGCCTGGATTTTGTAATTAAATCTTGAAATTCACGAAAAACCGATATCACACGAATCGCAAAGCGATGCGATGAGTACAATATCGATTTTTTTGAGTGAAATTAAGTGGCATTCCTGAGTCACACCAATAGGCCAATGTAATTGACTAAATCTCATTGCAGAAATTTTTCAAATAGACTTATTTAAGCCTGGTTCACATATGATCGCAGACGATTGCTCTCGATCGCTCGATTGCAGAATCCACTCAACCGAGGATCTCAAATCGAACGTTCACATATGATCGCAGCCGATCGCAGGCAGTCTATTGACACCTGAGTCCGCGAATTATCACTCAGCAGTAAAACAAAGTACCATGCAGATTCAACATGGACTTTAAAAAATAATCTCTGATAAATCAAAAAAGAAACGTACGACTTTATGATCGTGAATACTTCATCAGGGGAGTCATCTCTATGAAGAATAGAAATATACCCCCAAACGACAGTTGTTTACTTGCCTCAATGGCTTACAAACGTAAATTAGCATATGTAATCGTGTGTTGATACTTTTAAACCAGTTATGTCTGAAAAAAAAAACCATAAAAAGAAATGCTTTTTCGCTTGTGAAAATCAAAAATATCCACGTGTTTTATGGAAAACTGAGCATTGTGGGACACCTTCCAAGTTCCAATTTCACGATCGCAGAATTCTGTTCACATATAATCGCAAACGATCGCAACCGATCGCAGGAATAAAACCCGATTCTATTCCTGCGATCGTCTGTGATCGCAGACGATCGCAGAGCTGTTCACATATAATCGCACTCGATCGCCAGCGATCCTCTGCGATCGTTTGCGATCATATGTGACCAGTCTTTATAATAGTTTTTTGATTTATGAGTGCAACGACGGGATCAAAAACCAACGCGGCTTCCTTTATTTGCATGCGATTCAGAGAGTTTCGAATGCCCTCAATTTTATTTTAATTTCAGAAACCAAATCCTATATTTTTTGTAAGTAGTCTTCCTTTTGTTTATTTAAAAAGCTTTCACGTCTATGTGGTGTTTTCATGATGGGAAAGTATGAACAAAAAATAAGACTTAATGCAAAATTAAACGTGGTTCCAAGTTTTTTCATGCGATTCCACGTGAAATATTTCTCTCGTATGCGTCATCTCCAACCAATGAGCAAAGGGATATGGGATTCTATAATTATATGTAATAGGACTCCATGCTGTCCAATTAAGAAATAATTGGACGAGGAAAGTTCCGAGGACTGACAAAATTGGATGAAGCCGTAGGCCGAGTTCAATTTGGCAGTCAGAGGAATTTTTCGAGTCTAATTATTTCTTGATTGGGGAGCATGAAATCCCATTACCTATTAATTATATAGCTGCCTAATTAATCCCATATCAACAAGACCTGTCCAATTAAGAAATTAATTGGACAGTTACCTATATGGGATTAATGAGAAGCTGTATAATTATCAAATTAATTGGCTGACTCATCGCTTCGCGGTTGGTGCGAGATCGGTTTTCTCGTTAAATTCAATGTAGAATTTTCTCGTCAGACAATAAATTTTACTACAGTACACTAGGTATCAAGCTCAATTTTATCGTCGATCGAACTATAGTAAATGTATGGAGTATATGAACGATATATCAATATAAATTAAAAATTTATTTGGACTAAAATTTTCAAAACGTACTTGTTTGTATTGATCCCCTGTGAGTCTGGGATGAGCTTGAGGCCAATCCTTTCAGTATTTGACGAGTTACAGTTTTTTGTGTTTTTTGTGTTTTTTTGTGTTTTTTTTTTTTTTTTTTTTTTTTTTTTTTTTCTTGTTAGAATTAAGATAGGTAGGAGAATAGTCTCCCGGTAATCCTCGTATAAAATCGGCTGCAAATCCTTCAAAATGCCAACTTTCGCTTAAATGCCTCCGGAATCCACTTTCTCGATAAACAAACATTACCCAAAGCAATCTTCCGTCTATCAAACTAGAATATCTGCACCGAAATATAGGATTTTATGCGCAAATCATCACTGCAATTAGCCTCTCGGCGATCGATTAGTCCAAACCAAAGGTATGACAAGAATGTAACGGTCGCGAAACTCATCAAAGGTTTGAAAATTATCAAAAAATTATATATATGGTCTGGTGGCCGGCTTGTCTTTTCCCTGATGACTTCAGGGTAGAGCATTACCCTCCGTACATAATCCACACACCCCATGGGCGGATCGGCCATTATTGCCGTCAGGGCTGAAGTCCATATGCACGACGCTTCACGAATAATTTTTAGCCCCATGATTCAGCGCACGTTCTGCTCATACCCAGTTGGGTATGTGCCCGGTTGTACAAAGTCTGGATAGCGCTATCCTGCGGATGAATCCTATCCAGTGGATAAGTCGATGCTGTTATCCAATAAATTTATCCACTGGATAAGATTTATCTTTCAGATAGCGCTATCCAGGCTTCGTACARCCGGGCCCTGAAGGAAGACAGGGAGAATTTTGTCTGCGCATGCGTACGCTTTTTGTTTTTCTTCGCGCGCGGGCTTCCTGTGGTAAGCGGGAAACTTTAAATTTGTAAACAAAGATGGCGCCTTGTTCACTTACGAAAACTTTAATTATTTCCCTTTTTCTGCTATCTGCTATTTCATGTACAAAAAAATCCTCACAGAAAAGGTGCATTGTCTGTAAACGTCAATGTGAAGAAAAATTAAATTCTACCAGAAGTGTTTTTCCTTACCTGGAATACGTAAAAAGTTGTTTCGGATTTACGTACGACGGCTATAGATTGTTCCTCGTCACTCGTTTTCAATCAGCTGAAAATGAAGCTTCCCGAATTTTTAGAAAGTTTATTTCAGAATATTTTGGTTCCCCAGTGAATAAAGGCTCTTGACGTGAATCTTAATTTGGAGGATACGGCTAGATTTTGAGTGAAAAACATCGAAAGGTTTATTGCTTCTCTCTCAAAGTTCTGCATCACAGTTAACAAATGCTTCGTGAAAAAAACAAGCTACACAAATCAATTTTAAAAAGAACTGTTTTATGGAGGTCGAAAGACAAGACCTCAAAGGATGATTTTTATATATAATTAAAACTGGACACCAAAAATTATAGGTTCTACCGCCGTAAAACTCTCAAGTTTTTGTACGTACGTAAATCTAAAAAATATTTTCACGCCCAGCCGAATTTTTCCGATGTTATAATTATGTTAAATTAATGGTTTAATACGTAAAGAAAAGTAAAAWGAAAGAAATTTTTTGGAGGGTTCGGTTAGATTTTGAGCTAGCTTTCAAAAAAGGAGGATTAGAATTGGCTTTCTGATGAATGTTTCCACACATTTGTTTAAACATGTCAAACAAAACCGGTATTCATTGAAGAACACCAAAGCATCATTTGCAAATGCAATGCAGTTACTAACCTTTCTCCTTCTTTTAAAGTGACCAAACTTCGAGTTCTTCAAGGCTTAGCCAAACTTTCTCCATGACCAGGTAAAATGCATTGATAAGCGTTGGGACATCCAAACATCGTCGTGATTCATAAGACATTTGGTAGGCTAGATGTACTTGATCAGTATGTATTTCAAGAAATCCTTCAAAAAGGTTTTGATTTCTTTTTTTAGATGTTGTTTAAGCCAAGACCATGTGCTGCTAAGGGTTTCAAAGCCAGCAGTGATATGATCGAAGTTGTAAAAATATCTTACAGTGAGAAAAAAGTCCTTTTGCACCTTTTAGAGGGTACGACTAATGCCTCAGATACGATTTCAGCGAAAATCCTCCATTTCCTGCAAGCTTTCAACGGAAAATATCTGAATAAAATCACCTTTCACTACAAATCCTTCGAAAAGTAAACAAATTGGTGCTTTTATCTGAAAGCCCGCGATTTTTTTTGGCCGGCGTTCGCAAAATTTTCCCCTTCTCTGAAGGATAGTTTACTTTTTTACTAATGTGTTGCATATATGATGTCAGCGGTCAATGATATCATTGAAAGCCCACACACTTCAGGTCGAGATCAGTTAGTGGGGTAGTACATTGTGGACAGGGTGCGACATGACTATAGCAATTAAATGGCTTCCATAAAGATGAGCTTATCAGCCAAGCACAACTGCTCTGTCATTGCCACAAGCAGACTTTTAGACATGCAATCGTAGCAAAATATTTCTTGTCTACTTTTATAGTCAGCAAAGTCGTACCTAACATCAACTACTATATATAAGACTCACAGAAAAAGCGTCCGATGAAATAAAAAATAACTCAATCACCCTCAACTTTGTATTATTGTCTTACCAAGCTCCGTAAATCGTAGGAAAGATAAGTCAATAAACCATACGCTTATCCTCTTCACCCACGATGAGCACTGCATGGACAAAACTAGTGAACTGTCTCCGTCATTTTGTACGAGAATTCTACACATCTGTTCAAACGAGTCGACAGGAACATGACAGGATAAAGCAAGTGTATTTAATGTTCACTGACGTTGAAGTCTCTGTATTTGCTTTATCACTTGGGAAACAATTAGTATATATTAAGTTAAGCTATACTAAAGGCAAACTGTTATCGCCTTTATTTAGTTGTGAATATCGTAGAGTCATGAATTGATTTTTTTCTCGATATTTTGAATCTAGCTGAAGACGGTTTTTGGTTCGTTCACTAAAAGGTAAGCATACGATATGCCTGCTCATGCTAAATCTTAGATTCGAGCAATTTATAAAGATTGTGTCTTACGATCTAAGAAAACATATGCCTCTATTCGTTTTAATAACAAACACGAACTGGGATTAGCACAAAACCTCTTTTAAACACGCGGAAACAACGTGCATTCGCTCATAACGTCGTACAAATCCAACTTCCAAGATGATGAATTGTACACAGCTGATGCTCGATCGTATCGACACAGTTTAGTATTCATAGTCTCGTATATTGATTTATTTTTCTTTGCTCTTATTATGTTTTGATTCTAATTATAAAATCTCAATCCAAGCAATATTGATTACTTGGGTGGGAAAGGAGTAGTCACCCCTGGGGGAGATTACTAACTATGATTAGTGAAATCCAAATAGTTGTCTATCATCAATGCTGCGTTCTAATTGGATAAACTACTACTAGACTAGTAGACTATAAGTCATAGCCTACTAGTAGCGAAAAGTACCAGCTTTGAAAACCATGCAAAATAATTTATTTAACTTTAAGTCAAAATTTGTTTGCATCTAGATATTTTACCGATGACTACTAGTAATTGGATTTGACTAAAACAGCTAGACCTCTCGCCCTCATGGCCTATGAGTCAATAGCTCGTTATGGCTCGAGGCCTAATTGCTAAATAGAATACCTCCCCAGTTTTGTTAAATCTGAAATTTTTTTTCTTTTTCTTTTTCTTTCTTTCTTTTTTTTTTTTTTGCCTTTCTAGCACTAAAAAAAGTTTCTATTCAGGATTCAAAAGTTCAGTTTGAAAATAGATTTATCTTTGAATGTTATTGAGCAACTAATCTAATCTATATCAAACAAATATTCTGGCGTCTTTTTTTTTTCGTTCATAAGCAACACAAATACCATCAATAAGTATTCGTTAATAAATCTATGCCTCCTAGTAAGCTGTTTTCCAAACATTCACCTTGTTATCAGTTTGGATAATCAGAATTTATAAAAATAGAGGGATTACATAACAAAACAACAGACTAAAAAAGAAAAAAAAAAAAACAGTGAAAAGTTTTAGCTAATTGGATCGGATAAAAACAGTTAGTAATGTTTCATGTTTGTGCAGAAGAAAGAAGGAAGGTAAAGGGCACTGACGAATAAAAGGTAGTCAATTCGTAGAAGAATTTGTGATCATTCGATCACCACCTCTAAAACGCTTTTTTGTTTAACTTACGTTTACTAAATTTTCAAAATTTGACGTATTTTGTTTTGTAATTTGAAGATTTTTTCAGGTTAAATTAAACAAAAAGCTAGGAAAACGGTTAAAAGTTTTTGAATTCAACTAGCGCAATAATTGGATCGATGTATGATTCTTTCAGAACAAACGAAAAGATAACTTATCGCTAACAGTTCAATGAAATTTAAGAATATATTGAACGCTCAAAAGTAAAGTCTCCAAAAAAAGTTCACAGCTGTTCGATACTATATCTAAGAGTCTCAATCTTAATTGGTTCCGGATAAAAATCAAGCGAGTTGCTCATTGCGAGGGCCAAAAGTGTTTTCGTTTTTACAATAATCTATCAGTGAGAATTATTGACAATTCAGTTCAATTCAAAGAGATTACCAACCTATTTACAGCTGCAAGTGTGCGGTTAATAGAAAATTTTCAAATTAATAAAAGTTATTTTTCAGATAAATTAAATAATTATTTTACTTGAGAATTCTCTTTTCTCCAAATGTTTTTTTATTTATTTACAAGCCATAACAATGATTATTTCGAGTATTGTTATATTATTCAATACTTTCAATTATACTTTTATCCATTTTAAAGACTGAAATACACAGTATAGTAATACCAATATTTGCTTTTGGAGGTAACTTCTTTTCTTTAGGGYGTTTTGATTAAATACAAAAAATTAACACTTAAGTGTCGCTTGTTAATAAGTCCAACAACCCAATTGGCCGCCTTGATTACAATGCAAATTTGTTCTGCATTCAATGATCAAAAACTAAAGTCAACATTGGGACCGGATGAACAGTTTTAGAACGAAAAAAATTGTAATTTCAACAGTGGATAGATAGATACATCCGTTCACCTGTTGAGAAAGAAAATTTTATCGTTGAGTGACTGAGTACTTCCTGGTGGGATGTAAGGCCCACTAAAGCGGGAAACACAGGCTTCGTGTCATTGTGGAGTTGGACGTTTAAAGGGCTCCCCATTTGGTTAGTCAGTAGTAGCAAAACTTCTCAGTTTTTCACCTAAAAGACAGGATAAACTGCTTGCTTAAGGTATACACAACAATGTTTCCTCATTTCAAAATAACTTCATTAACTGGGTGTTAACACTAAAGCACTATCTTTTTGTGTTGTAACTACAATATTGTAGATAACGACTAGCGCGGTCACTAGTTGGATAGTTACAAACCCTTTAAGTGTTGTTGTTTAAGTTTCCTTTCCATATATTCATGAACGTTTTCTTAATTTCAAAATAGCGTTTTGACTGGCTGTTAACACTGCAACATTGTTTCACTTTTTTTGTGGTGTGATTTTAAAATATATAGATAAATACAAGTGGCTACTACTGTTACAACTGTTACTATTGTACTCGGCGTTTACCTTATAAGTTTCCTATTTAATCATTTATAATAATATACGTATACTTATTGACCACATCTAACTTTTGTTTTGAAAAAATGAAAAAATAAAACTCGATCCAACTAGAGATACTCTTGTAATTATCGCCGGCTACAACCAGTATTTCAGTAATTAAATAAGAATCTATGTTTGTTTGATTCAGAATTTCCAGAACTTGAGATCTAGTCATGGTTTTGCAGCACGCTGTATCGTTTACAATGGTTGTCTCTATTTTTTTGTCCATCTCTAAAATGGCAGGTAAGTGCAGTTCAAAACTAATTTTTTGAGTTTTATTATTCAGCAGTGATAGGGTCTGAGCTGAAAATCATTTTTGAAATATTTTTTTTGTTTCTACGTTGAATCTTTTTACTAAATCCCAATCTTTCAGAGTGTTAAAAACTCCTAGTCAACTACAATGCACTGCTGTGCCCCTATATTATTATTAACATCGCTCGTCTACATTCGATCGTCTGTAGACCCAACCTTGGAGTCAAA